GCTGTTCCACAAAATATGTGGAAGGATTAATATAATGGATTCCTGAGGTTTTATCTGGCTACTTCTACCATGTTTGAAACCTGAATCTTATGGGACTTCAAAACATAGGTCTAATGTATATATTCCTCTAAAATGCATTTGGGTAGTGTATAATACATTACAATTTAAGGATTTTTTAAAATTCTGTTCTGAGTCATGGAGGTTTTACATGTTTTGAACACTCATTATTCTCGAGCTGAAAATCATATTTGTGAGAGGGGGAAGTATATTTAATTTATAGTAATTCTCTATATTTAAAAATTCACTCTTAGAAGCTCTCTAGTTTTCCCTTTGATGCTCTGCATAACACTTACCGTGGCATTTCTTCTATTTTTATATAGTGTTTTATTATTTATATTGTAATTGTGTCTAGAGGTCCGAACTGAGAATGGAGTCCCATTCTGCGAGGCACTATATAAATGCAGAGCGTGTGTGTTCTTGTCCTGAAAACAATATTTTAAATGGATGGGACAGGCAACGGAATCAAGGTGGAAAAAGTGCAGAGAAGAAAGTTATTTATTTAAGGTCAAACAACAGCTTGTTAGTGAAGTTGGAATTAGAACAGCTGACTTCCAGTGTTAGATCAGACTGCCTCTACCATTTGGGAACTATGATAGTAGAATAAATACTGCCTTGTTTTCTTTGTTTAGGTAATAGTTGCGATAAAGACTGACAGCAATGTTTTGTCAGCAATATAAAAAAATTGTTCATAGAACTTATTGTTCTGTTAATAAGTATCCTTTGCTTGAGATCTTTGTTTGGCTGACATATCAATAAGATAAAGACAGAATATACTATTTGGATTCACATTGAAGTAAGTTTTCAAGTGCCAACAATGGTATTTAGAGACTTTAATATCGGTAAATACATTTACTGTTAATGTTGTTTTACTAAAGGCGTAGTTCATTGTATTTCATGTTGACACAATGTAGATGCTTCCCTCCCACTGGAGGGCATCCTTCAACATTGTAGAACTGTAGGATTTGCAGCACCAGGGTAGATGAATAATGTATCAAATATGGCATCTCTATTCATAGCACACTGTGCTTCAGATTATAGAGAAAGGAAAATTTGTCCTTTTGCCATAATATTTGGGCAGCAGCATAACTGTGTGCATGGAAGGGAGCAGGGGAATTCCTTCTTGGTGTGCTGAAGCACAGGAGATGAAATGTATTGTACTCATTACTGTCAGAACTGTTAGGAATAAACGGTTTTCTGCATCCTAAAGAGTATGTATGTATGTATTTATTTATTTATTTATTTATTGCATAGCAGTAATTCTTTCTCCTTAGCAGCAAGAAAGGGCTTATGTTATAGCTCTCCAACATCTTGCTTTCATCAACTGGAATAGGGCATGGCTTCTTTTGGAGGTGTCAGTACTGCAGTGGAACAGACTAGAGAGGTTAACTGTAGAGTCATAGAAATTGGGCTTCTCCACCAAGAAGTTGATCTTGTTTATATACTCTCATCATGTATCATCCTCTGAGCAAGAAGTGAAGATCTAAAATCCAGTCTCAAACACTAATACATCATGTGTACATTTGGACCCACCATCGGAGCTAAACCAGATGATCACTTAAAAGATCTCATTTGCACAAACATTGCTAAAATAGGAAAGAAAAACAGAGTTTGTGATATATACACAGAATTACTGATGATACGTTTTTTTCAGGAAGCATTTTTGTCTTTAATATCTAGAAAGATCTTGGTATAAATTGGAGAGACTGTAGACTTGTTTTAGCTAATACAAATTGATTAATATAAGATATTTAAAATTATATTTCTTTCTTTGAACTTCTGTATTCAACTGAAAGTAGAAGGGACAAGTAGAAATTTCCTTTGCATCTCTCACTGTATATCATTTCCTGGCTTCTATAAGAAGAATAACAAATTTTAAGCATTTCATTGAGCTATTGTAGATTAGAAAGATTATTTGTCGATTACAATTTTTTATTACCTAAGCAGTGTTGTGTTGATCAGCATAGTTCTTGAATGGATGAGGAAACAATGACAAGGAAAACACAAATATTGTAGAAAATGGTTCATCTTAGAATCATGAAAAGGTGGGCTGGAAGTGACCTCAGGAGGTCATCCAGTCCAACCCACTGCTCAAGGCATGTGCATCCCTGTCTATATCATCCCAGCCAATTGTTTGTCTTACTTGCTCTTAAAAATTTCAAACGATGGGGATACAACTTAAGTAATTTGTTATAATGTTAAACCATCCTCATAGTTAGCAATCCAGTTTAATGAACACCTCCAAAAAGTATGACATCCAACCTAAACTTCCCCTGTTGCAGTTAGACTGTTGCATCTTGTCCTGTTCCTTGTGGCCACAGAGAACAATATATCACAGTGGTGCTCAAACTTCTGGCCCCACAGGTTAGATGAGTGATATGGGATTGGTCAGCGGGTGCAGTCTAGCATGTTGGCTCAGTTGTACATGCCAGATCCAGCTACATGCAGTGACCCAATCTTTTGTCAGGCTAACCCTACACGTCAGATCTGGTTGATGGTTAGAAAATGATATTTAGAGGTTTGCTTTTGGGAATTGGCTTGTTGGTAATGTAGATATTGCATTAGAACAATGGTCCGGGGCAGTGGCAAGGGTTAATTGATTTCTGAAAGCCTGTTTGTGACAGTTTCCTTCCAAGAACACTGTGTGGGACAGGCAAGCAGACACACAGGCTGGGAAATTGAAGACATGCACCACACCGTTCCATAACATGAGATAAGGGACTCTGCCATTGCAGAGCCCTTGGGATTTATGGTTTTGCTCAATGGACCAAATTAGTAGGCCTGGAAAAAGCCCAAATTAAGATGCGTGCATGTGGTAGATTTGGGAAACAAAGGAATATGCTGATAGGGTATGATGACCACAGAGAGACCAAGAAATGCCCAAAGATGAAGAGTCATCAGACGAAAGAGAATACAAAAGGAGGGATTTCAGAGCAGCAGAGGGTCCTTGACAAGGGAACCTGAGGCCGTTATGGACAGAGGGCATACTACCAGCCCATCTTACCCATCCCACAGAGGGAGGGTGGGTGTTGCCTTCCAACCTCCAGACTGCTGACATCTGACATTCAAGAGAGAACCTCAGAGTGAAGCTCATGTACTGGGCAGATGTACCTTGACTCTGTGAACCCTAGGACTGGTAGATATAGAATTGTTTGCATTATTTTCATCTGTTATCACTATATCAATAAAATTCACCTATTATTGAATGTTGAGGTCATGGTTGGTCTGAGGGTTTGGGTCTGCCCGGAACATGGTATCTGGGTCATAAATCCAGTGCCAACACTGGTCGCATGCGAGCCTGACCCCATGTACGTGGATTAAGCCATGAAAGACCAATAGAGAAATAGCAAATAAAGTAACACTACCACCATTCCCCTGCTGCCAGGTATCTGGAGCTGTAGGGAGACCTATGGGTTGGATGACACAGCTCTGTGGACTGGATCTGGCCTGTGGGTTAGAGGCTGGGCACCACTGGTCTATCACCTTTTTATAACCACTCTTCTGGGAATTAAAGATTGTTATCAAATCCCCCATCAGTCTTCTCCAGACTAAATAATTCCTGTTCTTTTAATGTTGTCTCAGTCATGTTTCCTAAACCTCTAATCATTTTAGGTACTCTCTGTTGTGCACACAGTAATTGTTGTTCTTAGTTCTGACTTGGTATAGAACTGCTATTCCAGTCCGGTTTTAAGAAGTGCTAATGGAAAGGGGGGGGTGCCTTTTGTTTGAGTAGTAAAAATTGGCATTTTGACCATTTGACAATCGCTGAGTTTATTTTTCAAGAATATTAGCTATTTCTAATATTTTAGCTAATTGTTCTCCATTTTCTTAAAGTTCTAACAAGAGTTTCAATTAGTGTTCTTTGCTCTTATCTTAAAACACTGAGTAGCACTGTGGAAGGGATGGGGGGAGGGGGGGCTCCTCTAGCACCCCCTGGCTTCTAGCCTGAGCCACTGCAGGCATGTGCCTGCATTTTCTCAGTCTAGGGGGGATGTCTCTTCAGTTACAAACTGATTCGGCCTAGGCAGGTTAGACTAACCTGCAAAGATTGAACCAGTTCAGGCTCAGGCTTTTTTAACGTCTGTCTGTAGCCTAAGAAAAAAGCCTCTAATAGTTACCCTAGGTACCTGGGATCCAGGTCAATACCAGTTCCCATTCACATTTAGGTACAAGAAATCTTTTCCCACTTTTCCCCACCTACCTCTGCCTGCCCACCCACTCCCACTTCCCTGCCTCTCATCCCTCTCCCTAGTGTCCCTCCCAACATCCCCCTTTCCTAATGAAGGTCTGTGGCTGTCCCCATAAAAATGCATAACTCTGTCCTTTCTGGCAATAAACACAACAGAACATTAAAAAAAATAACAGAAAGACTCTGTCCCTGCCTGAGTCTCCATCAAAGGGTACGCTTAGCAGTGTTCCAAGATGGCATCTGCCTAGTCATCCGACCAGGAAAACCTGCCAGTTCTGTAGACTCTGCAGGCTGACTAGGTCCCTCTGTTTGAGTGGCCAAGATGATGCATGGGCTGGACCACAGCCTTCCCTAGAGTGGAGGGAGTAGCAGTGGTTAGTGCTACTTCCTCCACTAACCAATGGTTAGCAGTGGTTTAGTGACTCTGGCCCATGTGGACCAGAGTCACTAAAAACTCTCTCTCCTCTTCTCCCCTCTCTTTCTCTCTCGTTCACAAATTCAAGTACTGCCTGTATGCCAACAATTTGCAGGTCTACTTCATTCCAAACCTGTCTCCTATTTTTCTTATGTCCCTCCTCCTCCTTCCTTTTTCTTTTAATTCACCATGGGTAAAAGAGAACTCTTCCCTTTTTGTCCTTTTATGGTAAATAGGAAAGTGATGCATTTATGAGCTGCATTATATGTTGCTTTTGTAATGTGTCATGCTGTATATGCCTGAAGATGGTATTTTCATAAAATGTTACAATGTTTCTAGGTGCTAACAGCTGACTTGGAAAGCAGGGAGAAGCAGCAGCAAAGAATGCTAGAGCAGCTGAAGGAGATACAGAGCTGCTATAAGGCTTGTGAGAATGAACGTAGACAAACTGAACTCCAAACTGCTGAACTGGCTCAACAGGTTGAAGAGGCCACCAAGGAAGCAGAACGGTACCTTGTTGAATTCAAACAGTCTGAGGCCCTTAGGCTGGAGGTTGAAAAGAAGAAAGAGGAGCTGAAGGTGAAGGCTCAGGAATCCATTCGACAATGGAAGCTAAAATATAAGAAATTGGATTGTGAGATGGTGAAACAGAATGAAACTGTCAATCAGCTAATGGACAAAAACAGTCAGGTAGGTTAGTCGTGTGTCCCTCCCCCCCTCTCGGCCATCCTTTATTTATAAACAACGAGGAGGAAAAATATTTATTGTCAACTTCATTGTCAGTTTTTTACCTTTGTACTTTAGTTAGTTCAGACAATAAAAATCAGTCCTCTCAGTTTTTTTATCCATTTCCCTTTGATTTTTGTCTATTTTTTCAAGTAGTTTAAACTGCAGCATCTGGGTTTATCCAAACAATAGGTGGTTTGCAAAGAGACTCGTAATCTCTGCTTCCAGAATATCAGGTGGTGTCATTAGCTGGAAAAGGATTAGATAACACCATATTTAAAATTCTCATAGCACTTTCAATAATTCTAAGTTTACAAATGTGGAATTGCCACAAAGTGTTGGCAGGTTACATACCCAAAACTCTTGAGTGTAATATGCAAAATGTAACAATTAGATGTTAATTAGACTTGCAAAAGAAAAGAAAATGTTTACTATTTTACATTTAAAAAAAAATCTGGATTAGTTTATCAGTATAGTTCACTTATCATTATTTTATTACCTTATAGAAGGGGTATCAAATTCCTCGGGCTCCACATGGAGCTAGGTTGGCATAGGTGCTGCATTCAGCATGCATCCTGAACTGGCCTTGTCTGCAGCATGCCCCAGCCACATGCATCATGTGCAGCCTAGACCTGCACACCCAGCCCCATGTGTACCCTAGCTACAGCTCTGCAGGTTATGTGCAGTATACCATGGATCTGGCCCCAAGTGCATGCCCTGGTCCTCATGCAGCCTGGCCCAGATCAGGTTCCAGTGCTCTGCAAACAGTGTGTGGACATGACCTTGCAGCATGCAAGGTCAGTCCAAGACCTGCAGGCTGGATGATAGGGCTTTGTGGGCTGGTTCCAGCCTATGGACTGTATCTTTGATGCCCCTGCCGTAGGGCTTAGGGATCCTGGTTATGGTACCAGGACTGTATCCTTCTAGGCATTGCAGAAACACAGGACAAAGAGAGAGTGTTTGTTACAAAGAGCTTAAACTTTAAGACAGGAGATAGGGAGGGAAAGAGATGCACAAGAAAACAGAGACAGTACTGTTGACCACAGTAGGCAGTGCTCTTAGCAAAATATGCTTGAATAATGAAAGAATAAAAAAACCCAAACAGTCCTGTAACCAGAAATAACTAAAAGGTGATCAAACCATTTTTAAAATTAATAAATACTTTGACAGCATGTTAAGATTTGATCATTACTGAGTATCCAAAAAATGAGAAAATGTCAGAATTATACATGCAACTGTAATTTGGCCCTGGTGTATACATGCACATGTACACACAGGCACATTTCTGTAATCATTGCTATGATTGCCGGGTATGCCTCTTACAAGTTTATAGCTTGTTTTTCCTTCTGTACAGAAAACATTGGACAAGTTAGACACATCTACATTAAACCGAAGTTAAAGGGGATCTAGCTCTCTCCCTGTGCTTTTTCCGAGATGAAATTTGTGAAGCTGTAAAGATTTCTTATGTAATTTTTGAGAAATAGCATATGATAATGTGATTTAAGGTTATGTCATAGCGTGTAAGCATGTCCTTAAGGATTTGTATTATAATACATATAGACAGTTGGAGGGAGTTAAAGCTCTCTGTGCAGTTTTAACCACCCATTCTTGACCTTTTTCTTAAAAAGTGATACTATGGATGCATTAAATGCAAGTTTAGAAGCTGGCTAAAATTTCAGTAAACTTTCCAAATTGCAGTAAAGCAGACTTCTCTGAGGAGAGAGATCACCTGTCAAAAGTTCACCATATTCCCCCAGAGGGTAGGAGGGCAGCATAGTGTACCTAAAGTTAGGTTCTGAAATGCATAATTAAATGTCTAACAAGGGAGCCTGTTTTCAAAAACTGCTGGACACCCCACAAGACTCATTTACTTCATTTTACTTTTATTAAAAATAGGTGAGCCATTTAAAAAGAAAATGTTGTTATGGTATAACTTTTCCTTCAGAAAGGACTTTTTCAGATGTTAATATATCACCACTACGACTTCTACTGCTACTACTAGCTTCACCTTTGGGAGACCTCGAGCTAAAATATTTCTCTCCAAAAGGCAAAACTTTCAAAAAATTATGAATGACTAGAAACACTTTAGCAACCAAAATATTAGCTTTCAGTGTTTGTCTATCAAAACTGGTGTACATCTGCATTAATGTTTTATAGTTGTAACACCTTTCGCCCGAAGGTTTTGGAGATGTTTAATGCACAGTAATTTTCACAACAGCTCTTTGAGGAAAGTATTATCCCAGTTTTATACATGGAGAAAATTGATTCCTAGAAAGGCTAGGTAAATTGCCTAGGAGCACAATAAGTAGAAGAACCTAGGATCCCAGGTACCTAGGGTAACTATTAGAATACAGTGTTGAAAACCATGCTTTTGTTCAAAGTATTATTCTAAAGATAAAGCTTGATGATAAATATTTGTAAAGAATAAATGCCTAATGCTTAACTGGGGTAAAATGGAGATGACTCTGCTTTAAATGTTTTTTAGAAAGCTACATGTGTTTGAGAGTATAAATGTAGACAAAATGAGGAGCTTGTAAGGCTAGGGACAGACATTACACATAAACCATTTTAAGTGATCAGAAACTGGTTTAAACCTGTAACAGAACAGGTGTTCAGTGCACATAAACCAGTTTGAAAATGCCTGAAACTGGTTTGAGATAAATCTGGTTGAATATAGTATTAGACTTAACTGATTTGGGTCAAACCAGTTTATGTAATGTCTGTCCCAGACCCCTTGCTGATTTAAGACAAACCACACTCCCCCCAGCATCCTGGCATGCTCTGTGGGCTTGGCTAAGTGGGGCTCTCTGCTCCACAGCCGGGATGGCCCCTCCCCTCTGCTCCCTGGCTGCAGCTCCAGCAGAGACTTGCAGGCACAGAGCATCTGCCTGGCTTCTCCCTGCTAAACAGGGATTATTTCCCTTTCCCCTCTGCCTTACGCAAACACCTCAGCATTAGCTAGCAGACCACATGCTGGCTGTGTTGTGGGAGATGACAAAGGCAGACAGGCTTTTTGGAGCTAATCAACAGGTAGCTTAATGTCCTTCCTTGGAAAAGCTGTTAAGAAGAACTCCATTAGTTGATGGAGAGAGACTTTGTTTTCTTAATGTGGTGATAAACGCTGAGTTAGAGGTGATAAACATTCCCTGCTGGGCTGCTCAGGAGGGATGGGGAAATAATAAGTGTCCTGCTGAGACCCGGCCATGCCCCACTCAGCACTCTGAAACAAAGGGAGGGCTGCTTTGGCAAGGAATATTAAGAGTGTTGGAACAATGACATGGCCTTGCTTAACTCCCATTTTAACCTGAAAGGGATTTGTCATGGATGTTATTCCTGGCATTTCTCCTGCAGCTTGTGAGCTGTGAAGTTCATGTCAGTTGTGCCTCTTGAGCTCTAAATCAACACCAGGATTCCGGGAGGAGCTCTTCAGCAAGTGGAAGGATTCGATTCAGGAATGTTCTTGAAATGATCTTCCCTGTAGTAGAGAGCAAGGCAGTCCCTCCCTGTGTAGTTTCCACAGTTAGACTTGCCTCCTTTCTTTAAGATTGCCACAACCATGGTGTCCCTGAGATTATCTGGGATTTCCCTATCATTCCAGATCCTTAAAATGAGGGCATGAAGCTGTAGTGTGAGCTCTTCTCCCACCCTTCTTGAAGATTTCCACAAGGATTCCATCTGCTGCAGATGCCTTATCATTCTTCATATGCTTGATGGCTTTCCTCACCTTGTCAAGGGTTGAAGGGATTCCAAAATCATCTCTGACTTGGTGTTGTGGGATGGAGTTGAGAACACTTTTGTTAATAACAGAACCTCCTTTTTCCTTGATCAGGCCTCTTCCATCCTTAGGTCTCAAGGGGTTGGTCCCTGAGTGCTCAGACTGTAGATGGTTTTGGTGTCACTGAAGAATCCGTATATATCATGGATGTCATTGAGATGTTGAATCTCCTTAGCCTTGTCTTCCTACCATTTTTTCTTTATATTGTGGGTCCTCCTTTAGACCTCTGCCTTGGCTTTTTGGAGATTCGGTTTCTTTTGCTTGGAACTGGTGTCATTTTGCCAAGTACAAAAGGCCTTGAGCTTGCAATCGATCAACTCTTGGATCTCTCAGTTGTTCTCATCAAACCAGTCTTGATGTTTCCTGTTAACGAATCCAAGTGTTTCTTCACAGATTCTGATGACAGTGGCCTTGAGGGCATCCCACAAGCTGCTGATTATTCTCCCATTGTTGATTGGAATTTTTTGTTGAGTCTCTGATGAAAGAGGTCTCACTTGCTTGGGTCCTTGAGTCCTTCAGCGTTGATCTGTCAGCATTGCTTCTGTTGCAGCCATTGTTTGGGACCCAGTTCGAGTGACATAACTAAGCAGATGAGTTGGTGATCAGTACAGCAGTCATCTGCTCCTAGCATAGCTTGGGTCATGTGGACATTTTTGTGATCCCAGGCATGGACAATGACATAGTCAATCAAGTGCCAATGCTTAGATCATGGGTGTTGCCATGATGTCTTTTTCTGTTTTTCTGGTGAAACAGGATGTTGGTGATGGTGAGTTTATGTTCTGAGCATTTGGTCAGGAGGAGGATGCCATTGGAGTTATCCTTTCCTATTCCTTATTTGCTGATGGTTCAGTTCCAGAGGTTAGAGTCCTTTTCAACTCTGGCATTGAAATCACTGAGAAGAATAAATCTGTTCCCCTATGGAATGTCAGAAAGAACTTGGTCAAGGTTGGCATAGAATTCCTCCTTGGTATCATTGGTGGTGTAAATATGTGCTGATGATGGTGGCATATTGGCCATCTGCCAGTTTAAGATGGAGAGTTATGAGCTGCTTGTTAATTCCAATTAAGAACTCATTAAGTTGGTTTATGAGTTCATTATAAATAGAAAAACCAGCTCCATGAAGTCAATGTTCTCCTCCCTGTTTACCCTTCCACAAGAAGGTATAGTCACCTCCATGTTCTTTGAGCTGCCCATCTTGCACTCACCGAGTCTTGCTATGTCATTGTAGTGTCACCTGAGTTGTCGGGCCATGACTACATTGTGGCATTCTGGGCATTCGCTATTAGGGTTGTCCATGTGGGTCCTGATGTTCCAGGTCCCAAAAATTATGGTGTGTCTTCACTGGTATTTTCAATTGCAGTAAAGCTGTTCTCAGTGGATGTGGTTAGCCAGTCAGGAAGAAATACAGAATACTATATTAGGCAGACTGTTTACGGCACCTTTTCTAGCTGCCTCCCATGTGTGGTGAGCAGAGTGGATCCTGAATAGGGCTGCTTAGCCACAGTTGCAGCTGCTGAATTGCACTCCTGTCTTGTTCAAGTGCTAGACCACCTTCTTGTAACTGCCATCTTCATGCCAGTTCATGAGTAGGAGCTTCCAGACCTCACAATCGTACTCCTGTCACCATTAGCGGTTGCCAAAGGGCTTGAGGAATGTGCTGGAAAAGCAGTTTTTGTGCAAGACACCTGTGCGTGACTTCTTTTATAGTAGATAATCTGCTGCCCATCGGCTTCCTTGCAGTTCTTGACAGAATGGGACCTTGATTCAGTGGCAAGGAGACCAAGACAACTGAGGATCTCGTTCTGCTGCATCTTTCATCTGTCTTTGCAGCTGTTGAAATTCTAACATCTTCCATCTGCTCTGCTGTTGAGGACTTTTAGACCCACAGCTGAGGGCTGGCCAGGCTTATTGTAGTAGCAGCCTGTACTTGCCATGTCATAGAACTGTCAAAAGATATATGTGGCTTTTCAGGAGGGAAAGTGTTGCCATTTGCTATTATCACCAGGGATCCAGGTTTTCCGTTTTCCATGGAAAAATGGAGAAAAACACGTATTTCTCCCTTTACCCAAGGAAAACAAAGATTTCTCATTGTAACAGAGAAACCTGCAGATTTTGCACTTTTGCAAAGAGTTCTCTGCAGGCTGGCAGAGTTCCAGCCTGCAAGGGGTTGGGGGGAGCGCAGTCAGGCAGGGGACACCATGTGCATATACATGCACATGGCCACCAGGCAGCCTGGAAAGCTCCTGCAGGTAAGTCTGGTGGGGAGGGAGGATTGAGGTCCCCAGAGGGAGGGAGAGAGTTAGGAAGGGAAGGGCAGGGCAGGGCTGGAGTGGGGGCTGGGGCTGCTGCCCATGCAGGGGGTGTGTGGGGCTTGGGGCCTGCAGCTGTAATGTGCAGCCACAGGGCTGTGGTGGGCAGTGGAATGGGGCTGCAGGCAGCTCATCTGGGTGGGGAGCGGGGGGCTGGCTCTCTGGAGCTGCATGCACTCCCGAGGGAGCAGGGGCACCCATGCCTCCCAGATCTGTGCACGGGGCGGGGGCAGATGCAGGTGCAGGCGCAGGCTTCCCATTGTGGGCTCCAGTAAAACCACATGGCGCTGTCACCACTCAGGCAGGGGATGCCTTGCCAGGGCAGCACGGAGCTCACAGCAGCAATGAGCTTCCCTTCATGGCTCCACTCTGCCCTGCAGTTTTGGGTCACATCTGCTGGGCTGCAGAGGCCCCAGGGGAGGGCAGCAGGGCAGGGAACCCGAGCCCACAGCAGGCAACCTACACCTGCCCCTGCCCACTCCCTGTTAACAGGTCTGGGGTGGCATGGGTCTCTCCTGCTTCCCCAGGAGTGTGCGCAGTGCTGGGGAGCTGGCCCCACACCCTGCCCAAGCCCATAGCAGGCGGGCAGCAGGGGGTGGGGAGCTGGGCTCCACACTCTGTTTTGCTGTAGCAGCCGCCACCTTCTGTAGGTGACAGCCAGGGCTTGGGCACTGCTGCTGGGGGCAAGTGGCTGTGAATCTGGGTCCCTGGTCCTGTAGCCCTGGCAGCTGGGGGCCCACTCTGGCTGGGCTGGGGTGGCAGTGGGCTATGGGTGGCAGGTGAGGGGCACTAGCAGAGCTGGGGAGGCAGTGGGAGGGGAGTGAGGGGCACCAGCAGGGCTGGGGGACTGTGGGTTGGGAGTGAGGGGCCTGGACCTGAGCTAAGGGGGCAAGGGGTGGGGTGCGCTCTGATTTTCCATGATAAAAAACTCAGAATCAAATACCAAAATGTATAGGTATTAAATGTCTGCCTAGGTATTTAGAATGTATTTTATTATAGCAATTGAGGCATATATATATATATATATATAGTGGCCTTTCATTTTAATGACAGATTCTGGGGTTTTTATCAGAGAACTTGAAATTTTTTTGTCAGGGAAAACTAGGATCCCTGTCATCACCACATCCTGGAGATGCTGCTGCTGCTTGCTCAGTGATTGCTTATTGATCAGTCACCCCTGCTTATTTTACAGCTAACCTTCTCTGAAGGTCATTCCACAGTATTTAAACAATATATTGCAACTGTCATGTAATTTTGAAAGGCTAAATACAATCCCAGTTTAAACTGTTAGTGTTTTGGTACTCTGTCTTTTTAGATCCATATTCTTAGATCATAACATTTTCCAAATTTTTTAACTCCAAATTTTCTTGGTTAGTATTACCAAAATTCTTGTAAGGGATTTTTGTTTGTGTTTTTTTAGCTTCTAACCTTAACTGTATTGAAAGAGTTGGGTATATAAATAAAATAGATTTCATTTATATTCCAGAAGCCCATATTTCCACTTTTGTAGCCTTCTTGGAACCAATTGATAAGGTTTAGCATTATACTAATCTCCCTAAAATATTTTTTGGAGTTTTAAAATGCAGGTATATGCATAATATACCATATTTTTCCCCTTATAAGTTGACCATGCATGTAGACCACCCTCATATTTTGAAGTCGAGTTTTAGGGGAAATAAAGCTTTCTTCCTGGTTCTAAATAGGTAACAACAGATAAAGACCTTGAACTTCTGTTGCCCCTAAAATATCCTACAAGAGAATCAAATGATCAGGAAAAGGACTCAAAGGGTTAAATGCACTAAAAAGCCTAAAATAAAAATGGTACTGAAAAAACAAATTTTGAGTTAGTATTTTAATTGTATGAACAAAAATCCTTGGAGTATAAAAGTCAACATTATAGGGAAGGGGCCTGAATATGGGTTGACCAACATGTAAGTTGAGTACAGTTTTTATGCTTTGTTCAGAGAAAAGAAGGTAGATTTACAATCGGAATAGTAAAGATTAGGCTAGTTGGCTAGTTTCCAGCAAGTTCTTCATTGTCTTTAACTGGTCACTTACAAGTAATATTCCTGGTCTGAAATGAATGAGTACAGTATGTTCCATTACACTTTGGAGAGGGACATTTTTTTAAATCATGTCCTGAAACAACTGTATGTAGAAAAGGGTCAGAAAGCAGGGGGGTGGTCAGATACTGCTGTAGAAAACCAAAATATTTGAGTCAATATTCACTTGCTTGTAAACTATTCCCTTATTTATGGCACTGACTAAAGTTTCTTTGCCCATATGTTCCCTGATCCCCTGGAGAAAAACAAAATAATAAAGGTGAGAGATGTACACCTTTGTGCTAGCAACTCCATATTTAAATTTACACTTAAAGCATACCTTCATCCCATTTGTTACAGACTTCCCTAAATGTCTTCACCAGGATTAACAGTAGCATTTTAGGGAACATCTTAACTTTCTATTTTAAAAATTACAGTTGATTTTATTTTTTATAGGGAAACATTGTTTCCCTGGCTTTAGAAGATGAGTTCATTCTTCTTGACAAAGCTCTGCCCTCAGCCAATGTAAAAAAAATAGGTTAGGGCAGTGGTGTCCAACTCATCCAGCCCTATCAGCTGGATCCAGTGTGGAGCCAATTCACAGAGCTGTTCCAGAGCATGGAGCTGTGTTCTTTGGCCTGAGGCTGGAATTTGGTAATGGCAGTCTGAATTCCTGCAGATCCTGGAATAGCAGTAGCTGCACTCCTACTGCCATCAAATTTCTGACCTTGTAGGCAGCCCTGTGAGCCAGAGGATGCAGCTCTGTGCTCTGGATCTGACCTGTGTGGCTTTGGGAGCCACAACAATTAATGCTGCTACTGCTTGCCATGCCACCAAATTTCCAGATTTGTGGGGAGCTCTCAGACCATATAAGATGACTCTGCAAGCCAGATCTTGGTCACCCCTGGGTTAGGGTAAGTGCTTACATATAGAAACAAATCTAAGAACATTAAGTTATAGGTAAGAGGCAAATTCAACCAATTGATAGCTTTCTTTTCTGCTTTATTTCTCCATTGTCCCCTTTTCCTTCATACTGACATCTGGTAGAAAAGAGTGTTGTGGAAACACACGCAGCATACTTTTGGGTCAGGTCAGCAGAAGCTTTTATTCAAAAGAGACTACAGCTGTAGGGGGGACGCCAAAGTGACATGGATTTTCCAAGCACTTGCAAGGGGTTCCCCCCCAATAGCAAAATCAGGAGGCTTATATACTTTTTAACAGTCGCTTACAACTCACGTGATCATATAGTGAAATTAGCTAGAAAAGCAGTTATAAACATTACTTCATTACTTCTTCGCTGTTATCAGGATGAGAACTATGGAGGAGACGAGGGAGAAATATCACTCCCTGCCTGCACCTGGAAATCAGAGTTGTACATACTTTTTGCTATCTTCAAGGCTGCGGTGAGCAAAGCAGTTGCAGAGGAGTTACAAAGAACAAACACTTTCCCTTATCTGTTCTACTGTACAGAGCCAGCAATTCTCCACAAAGCGTTTATGTCATCTTATAACTCAAATGATCAAAGTTTAAGGCATTTATTTTTTTCTGATTCCACAAGAGTATTTCTCAGTTCACAAAGAGAATTGGAGGAATGGACCACTGACAAATATTGGATCTTTTTAATTAGGTACTTAAGCCCATATCTAACTTCGAGCTTTAAATACCATCATTGAATCAGTGCCGTAATTTGTAACTCTCTTTTACTTTGTATGGAGTAGAGATGATTTCTTGCTTCCAGACAGTGTAACTTGCACTAAATATTTGTCTAATGCTTTTTTTAGATTCATCTTTTTCCTCTTTATTTTTTAGGTTCTTAAAGAAAAGGATGACTTAAAGGGGCAGCTTCTGTCTGCTATACAGCAAATAGAAAATCTTCGGAAAGAGCTGGAAGATGTCCTTACCAAGACGGCCCAGCAAGAAGAGGAGCTCCGTTGTAAAGATGTGAAGCTCAGTGAAATGAAGTCTCAGCAGATAGCTCTGGAGCAAGAAATAAGAGAAGTCCAAGGTACTGCAAACAAGTTGGAAAGCAAGCTGCAAAAGCAGATCCTGGTACAAAACCAGATGAAAATTGAAAAAGACCAGTTAGAGAAAGAACTTGCAACCACTAACATGATTCATGAAAAGGACCAGGAAAGACTCATAGAGATGCAAGCAGATATCAAAAACTTAAGTGCCATTCGGGCAGAGTTAACAAACAGAGTAACAGAGGAAGAGAAAGCCAAGAAAGAGTTGTGCAAAAGCCTCTCAGACCTCCAGAAACAGCATGAATCTAAGCAGGAAGACATGACCACAACTAGTAGGCAGCTAAAGATGGAGAGAGAGGTTCACCAACAGGAGCTGGAAGATACTAGGTCAGAGCTGCAGAATGTGAAAACAAAGCATGAGAGAAATGTTCAAGAGCTGATGAAGCTTTTTAGACAAGAAAAGACTGAGGCAGAGACCCAAATAAGGATGCTGAAGGTATCTGGGCTGAATAATTCTGATGTCAATTTTTTTTTCCACTGGATGATGAAGCTAACAAAGCATGCGCGTTTACATATAAATGCATTTCTGAACGCGGCAGAAAAGATAAAACTAACAATAAAGGGGTTCATGCCTGCTCAGTCTCATTGAATTGAATTACAGTAAATCAGGTACTGCTATTGCAGAGTCACTGAAACCTTTTAAAAACAACCTGGAGTTCAGATAAAGGTAGATGCAGTAATAAATGACACAACAATGAAACGTGACCTGTTGTAGGTCATCACAAACATTGAAACATCAGGGTAAAGCTGACCGACCATAATAGCTTTAAGTCAAAAACCCTCACTAGTTCAAAAAGCAACTTTGGTAGATGATATTGTAGGATGTGTTTAAACATTTGAATGATAAAACTTTTTAGTGCTTTCCTCTCTGACTGTTGCCTTAATAATTGTTATCTCTGCTATACCATGGACTGTCACGTCCCAGGGAGGCTGTATCACTGGAAATGTTTATATTGCACAATAGCTGAAATAGCATCATTGGTACTCTGGGAATAGTTTAAGAACTTGAATCATAGTATCACGTCAAATTTTGAAAAGGTTAGTTTTAATGAGTTCTTTCATTTTAAAGAGTTTCCAGAATTTACAATTTTGATATAATTTCTAGAAAAACAATGATTGTGCCATAAAAATATTTTATAAAGCAGACTGTGAAATTTATTTAGAAACAAGTTAAAATTTTTAGTTTAAATCATTCACTGCTGACTCCAGGCGATATGACTCAGAAAGAAGAAAACAAAGGCGTTTTACATGGCATAAAACTAATCTGAAATGTAAGTCATTAAACTGAAATAGAGACCCTGAGCTGCTTTATTAACTTTAAATATTTTTGGATGGATCAGTGTGATAAGTCACTGAATGCCATTTTATTGTTGTAATTTTGATTGAGTGGATAAAGTAATGTAGGATTAATTTATTTTGTATTTTTTTAATAATCATTTACATAGCAATGTAAGTCTTGGTAGAAAATAGTTGGTACGTTTTAAGTTTTCCTGGTCAAGGAGCTTGTCTGTGATGCGATGTTTTAGGATTAAATTGACTCTTTTCTTAAGCATGTTTCTTTTGCTTACTTGTTTTTAAAGTTTGCTTAAGTCAATATTCTGTTAATCCAACCTTAAACCCAGCGAATCCCTAGTAATATCCTCGGGTATCCTTTCCAATCTAAGACCATGATTTTGTCTGCTCTAACTCGTACACGTTAGCTGCTTACACGCATGCACGTGCGTGCACGCGCGCTGTTTTCTCTTTCCTTCATACCCGATGTGCAACTTTTGCTACAGTCATTTGGATTGGTTAGAAACAGATGTTTTTCTGTTTTGTTTTGTTTTTTAAATTTTGTGTTGATGATATTTTGAACAGAATAGTTAGTATTTGCTGTATTAAGGTTAAGTTGACAATTATATTTGTGCTGGATTTCAGGGAAGGCTCTCATATATTATCATAGGTAGCCATATAAAACTTTTAAAATTGGTGGATAACTGCTAATGGGGAGACTATTTAAAATGGTGGTAGTTAAGGGTGCACTGATAGAGATTTTTGGGGCCGATACTGATATCCAATTTTTAAGGAAACATATTGGCTGATACTGATCCGCTTTCCGATATAATGTGGAGAGCTGCCTCCAGCTGGTAAGGCTGTTATGATGAAAGGGGAGTGGGGCAGAGCAATGTCCCCTGCAGTGAGGGAGGGGGCAGGGGCAGGCACTGCCCAGGTAGGGTGCAGGATGGAGGTGCAGCTCATCGGGGCGGGGGGGGGGGGGGGGGGGTGCCTCCCGCTGCTGCTTGCACCCTTGTGGGGAGGGTCATGTGCCCCCCCTGGATCTGTGCAAGGCGAGCAGGTGGGCTGCAGCTTGGGCTGGAGTCAGGCTCTTTTTGCCAGGCGCTGAGCTTGGAGTGGGGGCTACAGAGGGGGATGCAGCCACCCCAAATTTTTGCTGTATCTTTTTCCCAGCACTACCACATGCTGGCACAGCTTGGCTCTTCCCGACTCAACCCCCACCTCTCCCAACATGCCAGGAAGAGCCGGGGCTGTGCTGGGTGTGCAGTGGTGCTGGGAGGGAGCTGCCCCCATGACAAGCCGCATCTCTGTTCCACAACCCACATCAGGGGAGGCGGGGGTTGAGCCAGGAAGAGCCAGGGCTGTGCTGGGCAGGCAGGCAGTCGCAGCACTGGGAGGGTGCTGTGGTAAAATTTGGGGTGGCTGCAGCCTCCTCCATAGCCCTTGCTCCAAGCCTAGTCCCAGCAAAAAGAGCCCAGCTTCAGTCTGCAGCTTCAGCCTGCCCACTTGCCCCATGCAGATCTGGGGGGGCACAGGCCCCCCGCCAAGGTGTAAGCTGCAGTGCCACCGCCCCTGACGAGCTGCTCCTTCATCCCACACCCTGCTCTGGCTGGGTAGTGCCTGCCCCAGCCCCCTCCCTCACTGCAGGGGGTGTTGATCTTCCCCACCACCTCCTCCCCTTCCACCACCGCAGACTTATCAGTTGGAGGCAGCTCTCCACGCTGCCGGGCTGTGTTTCTCACTGCCCGAATGCTGCCCTGCGACTGCACACGCTCATTGACATTTATCAGCCAAATTATCGGCCCCATTGGGCCAATTTCTGATACAGCCAGTTTTCTTTATATCGGTATCAATCTGATATCAGACTGATGTATTATTGGTGCACCTCTAGTGATAGTGTGTTAACACTACATAGTATATTGGAAGAGGGTTAATTTTTAAGGTTTATAGTAATGTTTTTATATGATGTATCATGTATAACAACATAATGACTAGAGGGAGGTAGTTAGCCATATTAGTCTAAAGTTATAGCTAGAAGGCAGGGCAGAGGAGTACTTAGACTAATGTCTATAATGTGCCACTGTGTCCTGCCCTCTGGTAATTTAATGATGGTCAAAGTTTTGTATGAACTGTCATAGCAAAAGAACTAGGAATGTGTTTTCTAGGTTACAAATTCATAAGAATGGAACTGAATATAAATCTGTGGGCCCTGGCAAATGTTATATTCATAGGATCATAGGAAGGTAGGACTGGAAGGGCCCTGACAAGGTCATTTAATCCCAACCCCTGCTTAAGGCAGGATCATCCCTGACTAAACCATCCCAACCAAGTATCTGTCCAAACTACTTTTGAAAATATCCAAGGATGGAGATTCCACAACTCCTCTAGGTAGCCTGTTCCAATGCCTGACCAATCTCAAAATCAGAAAATTTCTCCTAATCTCCATCCTGAATTTCCCTTGCTGCATTTTGAGGCCCTTGCTTCTAGTCCTGTACCCTACAGCCACAGAGAAAAGTCCATCTCCATCCTCTGTATAATACCCTTCAGGTATTTGAAGACTGTTATCAAATCCTTCCTCAGTCTTTTCTTTCTAAAACTAAATAATCCGAGTTCTTTCAGCCTTCCCTCATAAGCTTTGCCTCTCAGGCAAATCATTTTTTCTTCTCTGCACTGAACTTTTTCTAAACTGTCCACATCTTTCTTGAAGTGTAGGGTGCAAAACTGGACACAGTGCTCTAGGCAGGGCCTCACTACTTCCAAATAGAGCAGAAGAATCACTTTTTTGATCTGCAAGTGATGCTCCTGTTAATACAACCCTGAATGCTGTTGGCTTTTTTGCAGTCTTGCCTCATATTCAGCTTATGGTTCACTGTAACCCCCAGGTCCCTCTCTGCAGTACTGCAGCCAAGCCAGTCATCCCCTTGTCTGTATACGTGTATGTAGTTATTCTGTCCCAAGTGCAGGACTTTGCACTTGTCTTTGTTGAATCTTATTTGGTTGATTTGCGGACCATTTCTCCAGTTTATCCAGGTCATTCAGGATCCTAGCCCTTCCCTCCAGAGTATCTGCAATTCCACCCAACTTGTCATCCACAGTGTGTACTCGATCCCATCATCTAAATCATCAATGAAGGTGTTGAACAATACCAGATCCCGGACAGACTCCTGGGGAACCCCACTTGATCTGTGCTTCCAACTAAACATTGAGCTGTTGAAGGCAATCACTGAGTACAATGATCCAACCAGTTGTGTATCCACATTACAGTACTTTCCATCTAGCCTGTGTTTCCTTATCCTGTTAATGAGGATATCATGGGAGACTGAGTCAAAAGCCTTGCTAAAGTCAAGGTATACCATGTAAACTGCTCTTCCTTCATCCCCAGAGCCTGTCACTGCATCATAAAAGGAAATAAGGTTAATTAGGCATGACTTGCTCTTGGTGAATCTATGCTCACTTTTTCTGATCTCCTTGTTCTTCTCTAGGTGTTTCACAGTGAATTCCCTGAGGACCTGCTCCATGATTTTTCCAGGTATAGAGGTCAGGCTGACTGGCCTGTAATTCCCCAGATCTTCCTTCTTTCCCTTCTTAAAGATGGGCACTATAATTGCCATTTTCCAGTCATCTGGGACCCTGCTTGACCTCCCATGAATTCTGAAAAAGGATAGTTAATGGCTCTGAAATTCACTTAGCCAATTCCTTTTGTACCCTTGGGTACATCTTGTCTGGCCCTGCTGACTTGAAAGCATCTAACTTCTCTGAATAATCCCCAGCTTGGTACAATTAAGTTATTAATCATGCCATAAATTGTAATATGCTACATGTTAAGCCAATGTATGGTGTGATAATATAGCAAATGAACTACATAGATGTTGCACACGTTGCATATAACATGCACAACATCTTTGTCACTGATTTGTATTGTGCCTTAAATTGAATGTGTGGCATAGCTGCCCTGCTGGATCCCACTGCTCAGGTGAGCATCAGGATTGGGCATGGTGAAATCCTGGTGTCCAGAACACAGCTGTCCCCGACCTGACCTGTTAGATCAGATTGGGGGTGGCACTGGGTCCCATCCAGTGTTCCCCTCTTCTGTGCTCAATTCCTGGAGGTAGATCAGGGACACTGTGAGCCTGACATCGGACAACCTTCCCTTATGTCAGGATCACAGCATCCCACACCTTTCAAAATTGGGCATGCAACTGGTAACCCAGTTGCATGCCCAGGCACTTACGAGGAGTGCCTGTGGAAGCAGCAGCTGGGGTGCTTGGAGTTCCTCACTCCCCAGCTGCTCATGGCACTCCAAACTGCCTTGTCCTACAAATAAATCATCCAGGTCATCTATCTCCCTGTCAGTGTAGGATTATTATTATTGTCTGTATTGGAGTTCTTGGTAAATTAAATTATATTTTTAGGTGTTTTGGCTTCCTTTGAATTTCAGTGGTGGAATATTAATTTATTTAAGCAGTGAACTTTACATACAGTGCTAGTCAGTTCGAGTATGGCAGAATTTCACTGCAGGATCAAGAAGTTGTCGTTTTAGCACTTTCGAAATCCAGCCTGGTTATCCTGCAAGACATTACAGAATTATGCACTGTAGGCATCGGCACTCTCTCTTACCTGATTGATCTGGTTTTCCTGCTATGCTTGTATTGGTAGATAAGCTGCATGACAGTTCTATTTCCAGTGCAAAAAAATCTTTGCTTTAACTGTTATGCTGCCAGTAATAAAATCAAAGCAGTGTCATTTCATTGTGATTACATGCAAATTACTTAGTGGTTCAGTTTCTGGTGTGTGTGTGTGTGTATATATATGTGTGTATATGCATGTATATGTGTGTGTGTGTGTGTGTGTGTTTATAACTTATGTACATATATGTAAGTAAACACAGAGTTAATATATTTATGCATTTTTATTTGCGCAGATAATGTATTCTTAGAAGCTCAGTCTGCATAAAGCTGTAAAAAATCTTACCAATTAAATATGGGTATCTTTCCCCCAATCTTTGTACATGGATTTGGGGCTATGCAACCTGAGAACATTTTAAAATGACTTCATTATTGACCAGTACCCTCTGCTTTCAGAAAGAACTTCTCGATGAAAAAAATGTAGTAAAGGTTCAGCGTCGACAGCTGGAGAAAATGAAGATGGAGTGTGATAAACTGACAGAAGAGTTAACCCAGAATGAAGAGGAAAATATAAAACTTAGGCGAAAATATGAGCTTGTGAAGAAGGAATTGGAGGAAAAGGTAAACATTTGTCCTCATCTTTTTGGGCACCTCATGCAAAATGGTCAGAATCCATCCAATTTCACTGACGTCTTTAAAACAGCTAGTGAATTTACTTGAATTTGCCAAATAATGCATGTAAGCTTTGGGAGAATGCTTGTAGCTATAACACCTTCAGCATTATCTATGACTGTTCTTAAATCAAAAAAGCAGACAGGTTTGTTTGTGCTAGATCAATATGTAGATGCTACTTCTCCAAAATACATTTTTCAGGTGAATCTAGAGGGGACTACATTCCCTCAGGCAGAATTGTGCTAATGAACTAGCTAGTATTATAGTGTAAAGTGTTGCTGACAATGCAGTGTATAGCAAACCCATTGCAGTTTTAACCTTGTTTCACTCAGGGTTAAAGTTACAGCAATTTAGCTAACTTGTATTGCTATGGGAGCTTGCTGAAGTAAGTGTTACATTATAAAAGTTGATTCACCCCAAGCAGCAGCTTTTTGCTCAGTTTTATTAAAAGTGGTTTAAAGGTACATTTGTCCATAGCCATAGATGACTAAAGCAGTTTATAAATGAATAAAAGTCATCTTAAATGGGGCCCTTGAAACTAAAGATAAGATTTAACTTGATTACTTTAAAAAAGCCATCAAGGAATAGTCTAGGAACAGGCACATTTAAAACATTTAATTTAATTTAATATTTATTCTTTCCTTGTATTTATCAAGGTTTGCTTATGTCTTCTGTCTAGGTACACAGGGCATTTTTACATGTGTTCTGGGACACGTTGTTGAGCGCTTTAATTAGCGAGCTGTGCTAATTAAAAACGCCCGAGCATTACGTGTATCAGTGTCTCCATGCTGAAAAAATGGTGGTGGGGCTCTTCGAGCTAAAGCGAATTGAACATGTTTTATTTCAAAGCACCCTGCTGCCACTTTTTCAACATGGGGATGCACGGGGACGCTGATGCACATGGCGCGGAAGGCTGCCAGAGCACGTCAATTTCTGTGCTCCCACAGACTCAATCTGTAGGAGCCCACACCTTCTAAACACTCCATTGCTTAACAGGAGAAACTATTAATACCTTGAATTATAACAGCATTTCAGTATCTCATCAAAATCATTTTAAGAAAAAGTTAAACCTGATTCTTTGGCAATACTTTGCAAATCCTTTTTCATAAATGATTGTGCAATTTCAGTGGCAGTCCCCTTTTGCACAGGTAGCATTGAATTGGAAGGATGCTACAGCTTTGTTCTTGTTGCCTGATTTTTTTTTTTTTTTTTGCTGTTCCTTTGCAAGTAGAGATGAAGTGAACAAGCTGAGCTGAGCTGAAAGCAGAAAGGAAGTGTTGCTGCTTGCTGTCAACTCAGAGAAGTTTAAACCCATCTTATTCCAGAGTTTTATAGGAGGAGGAAAGCATGCCTGCTTCAGGGACTTGCCTAGAATCAAATATCAGCTGCTGTCACCTTTTCATGGGCTCATCACCTTTGTAGGATAGCGTTGGCAGCTTGTTCAGCTCATGAATATGCACTCTGCTAATGCACATACATTACAGCTGTAATTGCTTTTATCTTTTGTAGATTATCTTTCTCAGAACATCTCTAATGTTACAGTTTTAAATCTTTATTTAGTTCATTTTCTGAGATATGCAAGGTTTAATGGGATTTGAAAATTGTTTCAAATGATTCCAAAGATTTCTGTTTCTTATATGAAGGTCTTTCAGCTCTTAAAATATTGGTTTGAAATTTAAATGATTCTTTAAAAAATATCTTTAGTGACCACTTAAGCTAGGTGTATTCTTTTCTTAGTGCTTATTGCAGAGGTGGATCTGTGGTTTGATAGTATAGTTGAAGTGTTATTGTAGATGTGATGGACCAGGAAATATGATAGGTGAGGATTTTTTGATGATATAGAAGTTGGGATTATATATTGGCAGAGAAACTAAGAGAGCCATTTGAGGCCAACCATACCAGCATAGATGTGCAGCCCCAACCAATGTTGCTATTTGCAAAGACTTCAAGTTAGTGGTTCTGGTGCATCTGGCCATCAAGGAAAATCTTTCTGCTTTTTGAATTTCAAAGAGTCATAGTTACTGCAAAGTTAATAACTATTCTGTTTTTGACTTGTTAATACAGAACATAGTATACTATGAAACAAGTTTTTTAAAAAGTATGGCAATGTTATAAGACCTCACAAGGAGACAATCTCTTCTATTACATCTTTCCTGTGCTGGAGGGAGAAACTAGTCTCTTATATGCAAATTATGGTGGCTACTACCTATGAAATGCACAAGATTAATAAATGTTGACTCTGCAATACTGTTTCCAATATGAAAAAAACCTTTTAACTTACTCGTTTGGTTACAATAGTGAGGAATAGTATATTTGAGGAAAGACGTTTTCAGAGTTATACAGACATTTTACTCTTCATACGTTAGTTAAGCATAGATGGATGCTCTGACATTACATTGATCTGGTGGGACATGGTAGCCTAGAAATTGGACGTAAGGACCAGCAGAAGAGGGGTTTGTGAAACCTCCTTCTGTTTTGCTTAGTCTAGCATCCTGGAAATTTATGCAGTTATAAACTTCTCACTGTGTCTAAACGATGAAATATACTTGGGGAAAAAACCTTTCATATCATACTTGTCATACTTGAGCCTGTAGCTAATTTGGACATTGTCCTGGAAAGTAGCATCATTTATGTCTTTTTCACTTCTGGTATCTTACGCCAAATATTCAAAATCTGTTAGTGTAAGATTTTATTTTCTTCAGTCTTTCTTTTTTTCGTTTCCCTGTTTTTCTAATATAAAAGGCACTTAAATCAAGGAAGATAATACACTCTAAGCTTGTGAAATCTGTAACAATGAGGGTAAGAAAAGGAAAATATAGACAATATGATCTTTTTCCCCCCTGAATTAAGTAGTTGTCTTTTTCCCAAAAGGAATTAGAGGCTCTTTAGTGTTTTCACTAACCGTGTTGTATTTCTTTTAGAATATTACATGAAGCTTTCCAGGTTGTGGAAGTAATCCTATATAATTCTGACTTGCATTATTAGTGTGAGCTGACCTTGTACGTGTCTTCCTGATATAGCTCTTTCATCTGACTCAATTCTGCTGTGTGTTCTGTTGTTCCAATTTTAGGCTGCATAGAACTGCACGAAACTGAATCTTGACATACTATGCAGTAGTATAGGACCACACACACAGTGCTGAAGCTGATTTACCATTTGAATGGCATCTCATGGATTCATTATCATAAGTCATGCCACTTACTGTTTTATATCAATGATTGCCTAGTAAAAACAAATTATTTTTTTTCATCTCTGTCTCGGACGGCCAGAGCCGACTTGAGGTGATATACAAACTGCTCGGTCGTTTGGGCGGGCTGGTGAATGGAGAGGCAGACAAAGCGTACTGGTTGCAAAAACTTTACTTATGCCGCTAGTAGCCGCGACGCAGGTGGTCCGGTCGCTTAAACAACTCCACGAGTTGCTCCAGCTGGCAAGGCTGAGGTCAGCTAATCCGTCCACAAATTAAGCCGGCAGGGAAAGGGTACGTCGAAGGATTGCGCTCGGCAACGGGGAGAAGAATTGATAGGTGATCAGGCTATCGATCAACTCAGCCGCAAGTCAGATATCTTTAGAGGCACTCTGCAGCGTGGTCAAAGTTCTCTGACTTGGGTGGAAGTCGCACAAAATTTTATACGGCCAGCAAGCCAATTACTAGCCGCCACGTAGGAATAATTTAGAACTGGCCAATAGCGGGACACAAATTTGCATGCGAATGGCGGGAACTCTCTTGCACCGGGGTTTTCTGTTGCAGCAGAAAACTTCTGCTGTGCAAGAGACTCTCATGTGGTGGGAAAATTCCATCGTGCCGAGGCACTAAAATCATTGGGTTGTGACAATATCCTGCTCACAGATTTTAAACAACTGATGGTTTTTATGTTCTGAGCAAAATTGGACACTCATTTTTGGAGCAAAAAATACTAATGGTATTGGCTTGGTGTTAAAATAGATTATCACACTCTGCCTTCTGCAGCGAGTTAACTTTGAGTGTGTCTAAAGTTGCATGTATGGCCTGGTGTCATGAACTAGTTTCAGATAGATATTGAACAGTGTTCTATTGCTGTAGATATTTAAATGTCATTGGGTCTCACTCCAGAGTTTAGTAAAGTTTTAGAATTTGGGAGCAATAAAAGAATGAATCATAGAAGAACTTGTTCAGAATTTGCACTTAGTTCCAGATCTGTGATACCTGTTAGTGCAATCTTATATTACCAAGGTTGAGTGCCTGAAAAACAGTTAACCCATCCTTCTCCTCCTCTTCCTTGCTGCATCTTGTAACTTAGTCTTAAGGCTAAGATGATGGCATTACAAAAATAGACATGTCAGTGTGTTTCGTCAGGGACCCGAGCAGGTTGGAATAGGATCACGATTAGATACCTAAATGCACTTATGTGTCTAATAAGTGAAACAAGATCTGACCCAAATATCTATTCTTTTTTCACCTTGTATAAGCCTATCTGTATTTTTTGGTGTCAGATGTTAAACAGCTTTGGGCTCCTCTCTGATGGTGGCTGTCTTGTAGTGGAGAATGGAGTGAATCTTATTCATGCCTTGATATCTTTCTGTATGAAACGTTGACATTATAAATGTTGTGTAACATATTTTTCTCCTGTATTCAGGGAGATTTACAGGAAAGTGTAAGGACAAAGTTCTTATGTCAAGAAATTTACAATTTGATCAAAAGGGCATTGAAAAGAAAGCAAAGTACAAAGAACAAGGGACGGGGTGGGGAACTGTTCTTCAGTTATAAGTACTAACCTGAAAGTGGTGGATTTTTAAAAAATATTTGCTTCCAAGCTTGTGATTCCATGAGCCAAGGTTTTAGTATTGTGGGATGGAGATGATTAGATTCCCCCAAATTCAACATGTTAAACCAGCAGTCAACCTTTTCCAACAGCAGACCGAAATGACCCAGCTTGGGTATGGGGTAGGCCAGTGCTAGGATCCAGTTG